GGGCATCATGATGCAGCTTATTATGCTATTATATTAGCTTAATCCCACCGCTGGGGGAGACAGGGCTGCGTCGTCGCCATTGTACGCGTGATGTTGAAGCTACCCTCCCCTGTTGAGGCATTCTCTTCTCTGAAGGGTCGCTCTGGATACCGTAACACAGAGTATGGCTGGTCCTATGATGCGACCCTGTCTCCCCCAGCCGTAGGATAGGATCAGCGGCGGAAAACACATCCCCTGGGGAAGTAAGCAAACCAGCCCTTTTGGCGTTTCTGCTGGGGCCGTATGCTGAATGTTGGGGAGGGGATGGGGTCCCCGACGGTGGACGGACCACTTCAACTCGGTCCTTAGAACCGCCACAATTTGGTGCTTACCTCAGAACTAAGCCTTAAAGAGAGGACGGGTCCGTCCCCTCTCCAAGGCTTAGTCCTGGGGTGAGCAAACCAGCCCTTTTGGCGGAGCTGCTGGACCAGCTGCACCACTTGCGTCATACTCTCCTACCGTACCGACCGAGTTGAAGTAGTCCGTCGACCTCGGGGACCCCATCCCCTCCCCAACATTCAGCATACGGCCCCAGCAGAAACGCCAAAAGGGCTGGTTTGCTTACCTATGTATCTCCTGGGGGGAGGATAGAGTACGGCCCCTGTTCTGAACAGCTGGCAGTGCAATCCGATAGTCCACGAACAGTCCGCAATTCGTCAGCGATTGGCTGGATTCGCAAAGTCTGACACCGACCTAATGACTTCGCTTAATCGCTGCAACCGCTACCATTCTTACAATCTCAGCATGATTGGCCTCTGCCCCTTTCAATGCCCCCTCCCTCCAAATTTCAGTGGCTTTAATGGTGCTTTTTGCTTTTTCCCCCACCACCCTTCATAACTGCCTTTCTCGACTATTTTCAAAGAAAATGACACACAAACTCGACCGCGATCGTGCCTTCAAATAAATAGAGAATAAACAAGTGGAAAGTTAGGCCCCAAGCTCTCCATCAGATGAGACTAAAAAACCGAGGTGCATGAGACGAATATTCGAGTACTGCGGGGTTTGTCCACAATGAACATTATCATAGTGATTTCTAAATAATTTTTCGCTTTTTCCTTGACAGACAGACAAAAAATGCAGGAAACGACAAGGGGCTCACAGGCACGAGCCCCTTGTCTTTCCTGCAGCTTTAGCAATTTTTCATTGGTATTTTTGTTACAGCAGTTTTCCGTTTCAAAGAGTAAATTTAAAAAGTTTCCTTGTGAGCTCGCCATTCATTGGGTGGCCTTCAAGCGCATTTCGGAAGTTAGTGTCCTTGAAAAGAAGCTCGCTGGGGATCAAATCTGTTGGT